GCTCCCCGTTAAGTCGCGCATGTGCCCTATTGATGCGTACATTGGAATGATCTTTATATGGAAGTTATCCGAGGGTTGGAGGCATGAGAAATCATGTATCACCTCTGCAGTCAGGAAAAGGAGCGTCTGGCAGGGCGCCCCGTTTGCTGGTCTGAGTCCAGGTTTCAGACCAGAGTAGCTGCTCTGCGCAGCTAAGACTGTCGTTAGTAGCGGGCGGCGGGTCCCTTCCAGCTCCCCGGAGTAAATTGCTCGATGAACGAGGTGCGACTGGCTACGAACAATTACAGCCTCATTTGTACAAGTTTTTCCAGCCTTTGATGTCAATACACAAAAGGTGTGAAGAACGCGGCACTGCGAGCAATTACAGTAGTTCCTTGTTGCTGCTCGACGGAAAAGCCTTGGTGCCAGTACCGATAGGTGCATCTCCTCGAATTGTCGGGCCCCCGCTGGTGGACCGAAGTGGCTCCTCATTCAATTCTTCACTAAGCTCTTCCTGTCATAAACCCAAAATGATTTTGAGAGACTTGGAGCATTGGTGAATGTGTTTTTCAAACTGGCACTCCCTTATGTTCATCCCGTTCGTCTGGAATCTCTTCAGCTTGAGCGCTATTTTGAAGTGCTGTTCGAGATCTGTTTCCTGCTATTCTTTGTCAGGGTTTTAGTCTGAGTAGATTTGCGCAAGTGTTCCCTATTCAGACGACAATCAATTAGAAATTCATCAAAACGAGGACTACAGGGTTACAGGGACGTAGGAATTATCTGCCGTTCTGCTCTTTGCTGAATGAATTCTTTTTCGCGTTTTGCTTGGTTTTCATCCCGGGATTGAAGTAGGACGCGGCTGTGGGAGGACTGATGTTTCTCATCGTGGTTGGTCCGGTGGCAGCACTCGTGGACATGAACGTTCTCCCCTGAGCAAGTTACGCTCATCGGTCACGCCGCTTCTCACCCACGAGTGCGCTCCTTTGCTAATTACCCATTTAGGAGGTGGTTCCTGGTAGGTGGGTGGGTAGCCTACAGTTGCGCCATTGCTGTCCTTGTTCATCATTCTTTTTTCCTTTATGATACAGATCTCACTCTCTATTTCAAAGCGACTTTTTGCTACTCCGTAAATTACTCAAGACCCCATGTGGGTAGAAGCGGGATCAGTACTGGAAGAATCATGGCCGCTAGAAGAAGATGCTGTCCAAGATACCTCTCAAGTAGCGTTCATATGTTATGGAATTATGCGCTACTGAAGACTAGCCTCTTCTTCATGCCAGAACCTTTCAAGGTCGTCCTTTCGGAAGCTGATTGCTCTCGAAATTGATCCCTACTCAGCCTGACACTCCAGTGTGCCTGGTCATCATAGTATATATGTCTTTACTACTGGTTCCTCTATGAAATCTCGAAACCTTGACGTTTCTAAACCGACCCTTCAACTGTGTATGAGTTTTCTGAGGTATAATTATCTTTGGCTGTCACTCTTCATCCCTGTGTCCACCATATCTGATCGCCTTTCGTATTTTCTTCGGCAAATCTTTTGAAAAGTTTTCGCTTCCAGATGAAAGCCAACCGTGCTCGATTCTTCTGGCGCCAAGCTAAGAAGAGACTACTCGACTGTGGACGAACAGCAGTCACGAGGAAGAAGTCGCAGCTGCCGTCGACAGTCACCTTGGATGAGCCGATTCTGGAAGAAGTCTTGAAAAGACTCGATCTGAGCGAACGCGTCCAGTTGAGAAGCGTGAGTGTCGAAGGCGCCCGAGTGGAGGAGCTTTCTCAGTTGCAATCACCGCTTTTCAGCTTTCTCCCCAGTTGTCCAATCTCGTCGATCGAATGCCGCTGACCCTCCCGTTCGTGTTCCTCCGGTCAACAACGGCTGCGGCGACATCAGAGCTGACTGCGAATCCGCATGACGGTTCTCTTAGGTGAGTCATCTCGGAGACATTTCGTCGCTCATGAAAAAGTTTCCAGTCAAAGTTATCAGTTCCTGAATTATAGCTTCCTGCATAGTTTTCTGTTCGCCTCACTGGCTTATCAGTGCTTACTTCTGAAGGACACAGAAAAATTGGAGACTGGGAGAATACATGTATTCAAAGAATTTACGTTGAGAACCATTTTAGCGCGTCAGTCGCGGCGATTAGGAGGCTTTCGGTAGTTTTGCCCTATCATTACGCGTCAGTTCCGATCTCCCACTTTAATTGGACTTCGAAACTTCCTGGCTCACGCCTCCTTTTTTTGCACAAAATAGTCAATTGTCCCAAAAGTGACACCAATAATCGAAATTCGCATGTCGTTAGGGGACATTGAAATGAATGAGCCATTTTGCTACACTCTGAACTATAGCCTAGGAGAGATGGATTCTGATGTAGTCCAGTGTACGGCTGCGCAGCTGTTCTAATGCCCTTTTTGATATCCCTAGCACGTGATCGTCTCAAAATAAGTGAAATGAAAACTCAGTCATCCCTCAGTTGGTTGTGCTCTTACAAGGGGCAGATTTGCGACCACAACTCAACTGAAAACTATTCACATCTCCTTTTTTCCCGTAATAATTCTCATCTGTTGTAAAACTCGGCTTGGCCTTTGAACAGGCACCTTCCTCCCGGAAAAATATGTCAAACTGTGATGGTACTGCTAGTCAAAGGGTCAAAAGACTCATTTTAAGCGTACGTCTTGACTGACCAGTCCGCCTTCAAAGTTCGTGACGGTGCCATCGTTTTCTCGTCTAACATGCGACGACCCACACTGTCATGACATCATTGGTTAGTCTTCACTTCTTTCCGAAGATTTTGACCCCGGATTTTTCCCGATACTCGGCTGATGCAGTGCAGTTTAGTGTCTCGAATCACCGGCGTCTCACACCTTTGGCTGGACTCCGAGTGGAATGGCCACCTTGTGCAGGCCATCGTGGAATACTACCAATCAATCAATGTTGGAAACACGAGATTGAGGTAAGAATTCAGTCAGTGTGCAAATCGCGTTTTCTTTGGTGCTCCAGTGTTGTAACAGAGGTTTCTAGGTAGTTTCGCTCCTTCAAACGGGGCCGACCGTGCCAGATACTAGAAATGCGGAACCTTGTAATAGGCAAGCGCCTGTCGCTGTATCCCGTGAGACTGAGACTCCATACCCACAGTCGCTGCTACCGCGTGATTCAGAGAATAGTCGGTTCTCGTTTTCGCAAAATTCGAATGCGCGATTCTTGCGCGGATCCCTTTGTTCCAGAAAAAGTAAACCTCAGCCATCCTGACTTTGATCGTCGAGCCCACCACGCCGATGGTCGGTATCTATTTTGGAGGCGAACAAAAAAATGTGTGAATATAAGGATTGAAAAGTCCTTTACGATTGGCGTCGTGGGTGAGAATAATCGGGCATCATATCTTTGGCTTGCATTGGTAAAGCAGTGATAGTCTCAAAACTCGCGCAAACCATACGTGGAACCCAAAGGCACGTAGCAGCGGTGATCACTTCGAATGCGTGCGGTCGCGACGCGTTTTTTGTGAAATATAACTTTTTCCCAACGAACTGAGCAAGAAACCGTGTTATCCAAAATTCCAAAAATTCTTTTACATGTTGCACCAAACAATATATACTAAAATCATCATGCCGCTGTTTTTACACGACTTGCACCATGGAACAGCTTACCAGTAAGATCGGCACTAAAGAAGCAAAGGACAATGGCTTGGGTGAGTTCGCTGCGTTCTCATTTTGCTTCTTCTTATCTCTCACGTGTGTGTTGGCGATACTCATCGCCTGGTGCCTGCTCTCCCGTCGAAGCTCCGCCATTTACGCTTTCGCCACTGTCGGCTGCCACTCGCAACCGCAGACTGTTCAGTTTTGGTCAGCGATCTCACAGTGCCCGCGGCTGGAAGGACTGCAGTACGAGCCTTGTCGACTGGACAAATGGAGCAGACCTCACCTAATCGACGCATTGGACAACAAGTGTTTGAAGTGAGTCCTAACGGAATACAAATTCGGGACATCCTTATTGTTAGTTATCAAATCCCAGTAGAAGGTGGATAACAAGACTAGAAGTTTGTTCAGCGTTTCGAGAGGGTTCGATTCAGAACCTTCCACTGACTGGAGTGGAACCGGGGCTTACATTTTTCACTTTGAGGCTTTTCAGATCGTTGATTCTGACCGGAATCGATGGCCTTCGACCCAGCAGATCTCATTCGGATTGCGTCTGGCTCCCAGCTCGTGGAACTGGCGGTTGTGGGTGAACTAATCGGTCCATCCGTCTATGCTCAGAAAGAAGCAGTGAAGATGCTGTCAACTATCGAGAATCTTCTCATACAGGTTCGTGGCACGCTTTCCCCTGTTCCCAGAGTACCTCATGAAATGGAGGTGTGTTGCAGGTGGATTCGACGTTTTCCATCGACGACGCCACCGAGCGTGGCGCAATCCTGCGAATGATGACGGCGCTCCCTGCGAACGGCATCCTGGAAGTAATCCACGTGAGCCGAGGGACGGTCTCGGACACCACGAAACTCATCAGCTACTGGATTAGACTTGCTAGGTAGGCTCACAATGCACCTACTTGACTATATATCAAATTTTTCACGATTTATCATGAAGGAAGGAAGCACCTCAAGCTGGCTTGCGTTATGTTTCTGGCTTTATCATCTCCAGCTCTCCTGCTGATTCGTTCGTTCCCGTAAAGGCATATACTACGATAAGTTGGATGTTGAAGGAGGAGAAATGTGCCTACTGTAAAAATAAGCTAGGTTTCAAGGGTCTGGATATGGTGTCCCGCGAAGAAAGGCGCGCGTGGTGGCTTAACAGAACTACTCGTGATGACCCCCGCCTCCGTGGAGAGCCACACTCCAGGTGGAGTTTTTCTGTGAATGGTTGAGAAGGGGGGGGGGCAGGGATTGCTAAGTAAGAATGAGTAGAAAGTCGGAATAAAACGATTACATTGATGGCGCCGCCTATCATAGAATCTCTTCGGCAAAGAAATTGGTTGGAAGTTGGTTCATTTCGCGGGTTCTGGGCCGTTTCCTTAATTTT